AGCAGAGGGGAGGTTGTGGCTCCTTTTGTGAAGACTGACGGTCTCTGGAGAGTGATCGATAGGAGGTTGCTGAGAAAGTAAACCAATGGATGGCCACAGCTTTGGCTTTGCTTTTGTTTGGGGTTTTTGGAGGCAGGCAGGCTGGCAAGCACCTGGCCGGCCCCAGGTTGGGGGAGCAGCTGGGCTCCGGAAGCTCAAGGGACAGCCCAGCGCCCACGCCTAGGACCGCAGCCTGGGGCTAGCCTTCTAGTTAGTTTGCCCAGTAGCTATTGTCCACCCTGAGTTCTCTTTAGCTAATATCCCCAGCCCCAGTGACCCCCCTCCCCTGCTTCCTGGCCTGCTGGTGTGGTGCAGAATCGTCCTCTTTGTTGGACATGAGAGCCCAGTAGAGCCCCAGCCAAACTCACTGCCAACTCTTTGAGAGACAAGCCTGACTTTTCATGGGAGCGGAAAGCCTCCTGTGGCGAGGCTGGTAATTCCAAACTGCTGACCTTCAGGATCAGAGCCCAAGACGTAACCACTAGGCCGTGAGGGAGCCCCAAGCTACCTGCTTTAAGGGAGGGACCTCCGTGCTGTTCTGCCAAACCACCTGCCTGGACCCAGCCTGGCTTCTCGGGTGCCAAGCAGGCAGAGGGTGCCATCTGCAGAGCCCTCCCTGCCACCTTCTACCCTGAAATGGTGTCACCAGGCCCGTTTGACTCGGGAATGCCAATCCTTCCTCTACCCAGCTCCGCTCAGCCAGAGGCTGTTCAGCGTCAGCTTCTAGCGCCACCTCCAGGCCGATTTGGAGAACTGCAGGGTCGGCTTGACCAGCCGGCAGACAAAAACCCAAGTTCAGTGCCTCCTACAGGAGGTCAGGGTCATTCTCTGTTCAAGGGTTCCTGGCCTCGGCCTTGGCCTCAGCCTCAGCGGGGAGGACGCAGTCCTAAGCTTCTCTGGTAATTACCCAACTTGGCAATGTCTAGCGGACTGTAAGCGGTAGCTTTGCGAGCTCCACTGGCCAACTAATTACCTTCATTGTGGGTCTCCCACCGCGTCCACGCCAACCTCCTCTATGCTCTGCAAAGACCCGTTGCTGGCTCCCCCCAGCAGAGGCCCCAACCTCCTCATTATGGCGTTGCACACCATCAACTCCCTCGGTCTCGGAACCCAAGCAGGACAGCAGTGGTGAAGCTGAACACAGAGATATATAATTGGTGCTCAAAAGCCGAGAGTCGGTAGCTTGGCCCAGGCTGAGCCTCAGCTAGCTGATGGATTTTTGGGAGTGGGAGTGGGGTTAGGAGAGACTGACGTTTTCTCTTCCTGTCTCCCCTAGCCCACTCGCTGTCACCCTGCTTTTGGCCAATATCCTGAGCATCCCTGGCATGGAAGCTTTTCCATTTCAGGGTGGTCTCACCGTGGGAGCAGGTGAGAAAGAAATGCAGGGTCTCAGGCCCAACCCCCGGCACCTGAATCAGCATCTCCAGGTTAACAAGACACCCCAAGTTAAAGCTGGCAAAGGCCTGTCCCAGGACGATGTCCCCACGCTGCCCATTCTGACCATCCATAGAATACCAAGCTCTTCAGTGCGGCGATCAAAACTCTCAAACCGGCTTTATCCTGCTCCTTGTGTGGCCAACATGAGCTGAGATGCTAACTGGAAGGTAAGCAGTTCAAAACCTCCCACAGCTCCATGGGGGAAAGAGGACTTTCTACTCCTGTAAAGAGTTAGAGTCTCAAAATAGGTGCCCAGTTATTAAAAGATACAGCGTCTGGGGTATTAAAGGCTTGAAGATAAAACAAGCGGCCATGTAGCTGGGAAGCAACAAAGCCCACATGGCAACCACTAGCATGTGGAGTGGAGCAGTGACCACGTTAAGCCAAGACACACTTAACTTGCCTCGTTGTCCTAAGTCCTGACTGGCTTGAGGCTGTAGACTCTCATGAGAATACATGTTAGCCCCACAACCCCCCACCCCCGCACAGCTAGCTCCAAACTTTGCATATAGAACCTGAGGTAGGAGATATGGGAGACCTTGATTTATGATGTACTGGAGTTACGACAAACCACTTAGGGCCACCTGCTTTGTTCTGTTGGCCGAGCCCAGTCAATATGCACATCCTGCAACGGTGAAATGCTGACGTGATTGTTCCGGAACGTTCACTCACAGATGCTAAAGGCCATGATGTATAAAGAGGCTGGTAATTAAAACCAAACACAACTGCTGTCCGTTGTTTACCAATCCTCCAGGACAGGGCAGAGTTGCTCCAGAGGCTTTCTGAGCCCGTCAGTCTTTCCGGCCTCCAGTCTTCCTCCAACAGAGCACGCTGGCGAGTTTAAACTGCGGGCCTGATGTCGAGGCTAAAAGGCAAGACTGACAGAAGTGAAAGGTTGAAACAATCAAGTGTTGACTTACGGCAGAAATCACTAGACAGTGGCGCTGCAGTCAAGGTCTCCTGGTAGTTCAAAGGTACAATGTTCAGAGCTATGCTTCGTATCGTACTGTGAAACTAAGCCACCGAGTTACCCATTAAGTGGAATAAAGGGGGGGGATACCTCCCACCTAATAAGGCTCAGCCAGCCATTGAAAGTAACAGGGACATGGTCATACAGTTGACCGAGCAAGGGTTTGCATTGAATCTACTTAGACTCACCTGAAAGCAGAGACCAGAATGTTTCCTTGTGCTTAACTGGCTATGCAAACGCACTCAGCAGTGTGGCGCGTAACGAACTATGGATGGCCTTGAGAAACGTGGGAATTCCCAGAGCACTTTCACTGTGTTCATGCAGAACGCATGCACGGATCAAAAGGCCATCTTCAGACAGACAAGGCGTGTGTGCGGGTTGCATCTACTCCCCCTACTTATTTAAGCAAATCGAGCAAATCCGCTGAGAAGCTAGCTCTAAGAAGAGCGCTACAGTAGGATTGGAGGAAGACTTATAACAACGCACTGGGCAGGCGACACAACCTTGCTCGCTCAAAGTGGGGACTGGAAGCACTTGCTGATGAAGATCAAGGATTGCGGCTTTCAGTAACAAAGACCACTCGGTGTGAAGAAAACAAGAATCCGCACAACTGGCCTGATGGGTACCATCCTGATAAATGGAAAAAAGACGCAAGTTGTCGAGGCTTTTGTCTTGCGTGGACCCACAATTAATGCTCCTGGAGGCAGCAGTCAAGAACCCAACCACACACTGTCCTGGGTCAATCTGCACAAGGCCTCCTTCAAGGATTGAAGAGCAAGGGTGTTCCTTTGAAGATTAAGGTGCACCCGCCCCAAGCCAGGGGGTTTGCAGTGGCCTCACCTGCATGCGAAAGTTGGACACTGGCCAAGGAAGAGCGGATTCGACTTGAAGCATCTGAGTTATGGTGTTGAGGAGTACTGGTAGTACTATGGGCGGCCAAAGAAACCAGTCTGTCTTGATGTCTAGCAGTAAGGACAGTGAGACATCCTCTTTCGTACTTGGCTATGTTGTCAGGAGAGACCAGTCCCTGGAGAAGGACATCAGGCTTGGTCGAGGAGCAATGGAAAAGACCCTGCAGGAGCTAGACTGACAGTGGCTGACAAAGGGCCCACACTAACGACGTTGAGGATGGCTCAGGCCCAGGCAGCGTTTCACTCTGTTGCAGAGCTGCGCAAAGCCATGACAAGAAAAAGCTGAATTGCTCGCTATGGAATGTAGTGCCTGCCTGCCTGTCTGCCCATTTCCAGGGAAAGGAATCCAAGGTGAGGACTGTCGAAGGAAAGGAACAGGACACCTGTTAAGCCAGGTGTGGAAACCTCACCCTTTTTGTAAAATACTTTTTGTAGCTTGTTATTTAAAAAGGCAGCGTCGATGTTGTTGCCATTAAAGGGCCAGACAGGTGGGTTCCGACTGGTAAGTGGGACCTGGGGGCAGAAGATAACGCGCTCGGCGTGGAAGACGTGCGAGTGAGCTGTATGTATCGCTAAGCCTTCCAGTCTACAGGCTATCAGTGGGGAAGGTTTGGGGCCGCCGTGTGATATGGGGTGGCGCTGGGGGGTGGAGGTGAGGATGGAGCCTGCTGGCAGAGTGGTTCTGCACTGGGCCTGAAACGGGCAGTTCTCCCCTGCCCCGTAGGGTTGCTGGGAGTTAGTGTGTCGGCTCACTGGCAGTGAGACTAAATTAGAGGAGAAATATTATTACCAATTAAGTTCTTTCTGCTTTATTTCTCTGTTTTCCATAATGAACATGCATCGTTATATTTTATTTCACTTTTAATAAACATATTTTAAAAAAAAGGTGTGGGAAAAAAAATAAAGGTGTGATCAAAGATCATCTGTGGCCTGGGCAGACCTCAGCCCCACTGGCCAGCCAGTCTACCCTGCAGGGAGGGAGCCGCTTCTACTTCCCCTTCAGATGGAGGCCAGTTTCTGGGGCGACTACTCCTGTCCTCAGGAGGAGCAACACACCCTTTTCTCTCGTTTTATCCTAAGCCCAGAACTGATAACAATGTCCT